AGGTCAGATGAATTGGTTCTTTAAACGATATTTTCTCGCGTGACGTTTTTTCTACTAATCGTTTAATCCTCAATTTGCTTAATTGTCTTAACAGATATAAATACCTATCATAAGTCCCTTTTCTCCTAGGATTTTAGTTCTACTGAGTCATGTCTTTTATATGCGTATTGTAGTGTTTCTTTGATTTCTATTTGATGTGTTGAGTACTCTTATAAAAACATGACCTTACAAAACTCACATACGGATATCTTATAAAATGTCTACTTGAAGTTGATATTGTATGTTTGATCAAGACAACGTGTAACGACAGAAACCTTTGGTTGTGCTTGTGTGCATTTATTATTATTATTATTATTATTCTTTTATAATCTTATTGTTTCGTATTTTCATCACGTCATCAGCAGAAAGCTGTAGCTGCAGACTCGTTTTTTTGCGTGTACGCTTACGACACAGAGAGAAGAAAAATCGGAAAAATACTGAGATAAATAAAGAGGGCAAACCAAAAATGTGTGAAAAAATCGATCATATGATTTAAATAATCAGGCATGCATCACTCCATCTAAAAAAACTAGTAAAACAATATATCGATGAAAAGCACATGGAATGATGTAGGTAGTAATATCCCTTTAATGCTGTATACTCGATATACCGTGAGAAAAACTGTCCTATTTTCACGCGCGTACATTCTTGATGCAACCAATTTCATTTACAAAAGATCTTTTCTTCCTTTGAAGATAACRACTGTGCTGACAGATTGATTGGTGTAGAGAACAGATACATCATACCTGACAGCAGTTTTACAGCTTCCTCGTACTACCAAAGTTYATCATCTGACTACCGATACCACCCATCCAATGGTAGACTTGGTGTCAATAATGGATGGGGTCCATCTTTGTCGAATCGTAATGACCCAAATCGATATCTACAGATTGATTTTGGTCTTCCTTACGTTATCTGTGCTGTAGCCACACAGGGGCACAGTTCTAACTATGAGTGGGTGACAAAGTATAAAATAAGTCTGTCGATGGATAATATAAACTGGAAGCCTTACCAAGAGAACGGGGCACTAARGGTAAGAAATAGAAATCAATTTGTCATAGAAGTCGAGAAATAAAAACACGTTTATGTCTTTATTTCATTACAAATCAAAGCACATTAAGGGCTGTTTTTTTCTTCTGTATTTGTAGTACAACATTATTGTAAATTAGATTATAATTAGAACATATTTGAATTGATTGAATTCTATAATTTAATAAACAGACTATGGGTAGAGTGACCACAGTAAATCCGTGAAACACTAATAACTAAATAGTACAAAATAGTGCTAGTTAAACAATAGAAAACAATGGAATTTGCATGAAATTGTGCCATTTAATATTTCTAAATTTTCACGGATTTACTGCTGTGGTCACGGCTCTATTACCCACAGCCAATTTACTCCAATCAAAGTGTGTTGTTTGTTGCCCAGTAAACAAGCTGCAGGAAAATCGACATTGTTTGTGCCATTTTAATAGTTAT